CCTGATTTCCCATGTGTGGATTTGTTTGTTGGGTTAGGCGTTGGATCGATTGGACAATGAGGGACCGTACAGGAAGAAGGATTTTTGCTTGATTTAATAGTCATAAAAAGTAAGAATGCAACAGAATAGAATCTCCAAGACGGCAGCGGAGGGGGGGGGGGGGGGCGGAACTAAGGGCTGAACACCGGGGAGAACTGTTTTTTCCGATTATTTTTGGACAGAGAGAGCAGGTGAAATTTATTATGGGCTTTGGGCGTAACAACCTGTGTAAAACAGACAAAGCAGGTGAAGTGAGTCACTCAAGCCAGAGGACAGATTCAAAATTTTCTTTTCAAAGTTTTTTTATCATGACACATAGAAATAGAATGGTTCTTTGCTAGGTCGGATTAAGAAAAGGATCAATTTAACTGCGACGTGTTTCGTATAATAGTTTAAAAGACCTGTAGAATTTCAGTAGTGCTGACTCTCATTTTACTACCACAGCCATATAGGTCTGGGCTGTGGAGGATTTGTTTATGAGCATATCCTGATTGAGTCGTGATGCTGTTTGTCTTCTGCTTTCTTTCTCTCCTGTCTGTGTTGGGCATCACCTCCGCCGTCATCGGTTATCTGTCTCATCAACGTCGGTGCGAGGACTTTTAATAGGCTCAGTGGTACTTAACTGATTCTAATATTTTATTACATGTACTACAGAGGTCTTTTTCGTCATTGAAATCCTCCCTGAATTTATCCTATATACCTTTATGTTGTCTGATTTTGGTTTGATTGCTCTTTTCTTTTATTTTGTAATTCTTGTCTTCTTGTGTCTGGTTTTGAACTCAACTTCCTGTCTTTTGTCTGTTTTCCCCTCCCGTTTTGTGGTTTTCGCTGCTTCCTGATTATGTCACGTGTTCTCTCCTGTCCTTCCTCCCTTTGGTATTGATCTGTGTTTCCCTTCTTTTTGTCTGTTTCGCCCGCGAGTTGTTAGCCCTGTGTGTGCTGGGCGCGCCTTCCCCGTGTTTCCTTGTTAGATTTATTGCATATATGCAGTGTTTTTAATGGCCTGATTAATATCAATTAATCTGTTCTGGGTACTCTTGCATTTGATGTCCAAATCCTGATTTGTCAAAGCATACGCAACAAAAAACTCCACACATGGGAACAGGGAAAATGGCTAAAATTAGGGGGCGGGGGGCAGTACAACTGGAAAGCGACAAAGGACAGGCGTGATTTAAGAAGGAAGGGGATTACAAATTAAACAGAAAAGCACCAAACCCAAGATCCATGATTGTTGTGTGTTTTCTCACGCCTCCGGTCTTTTATATTCCTCCTTCCCAAACTAGACGTAAAGGAGGTATCGGTTATTTTCTCAAAATTAAAGTCTTTCGTGATTCTTATATTTAATGGGATCTTCCCTGCGTCTTTTAGTTATTTTTAGTCAACACTCACCAAAAATTTTTTTCCTATCCTTTTTATAAGCCACTACCACTTCTTTTATTTTTTTTTGTCGTGTAAGACATGCAGGTTGCGTTCTTTCTGGTCACTGATCATTCATTATCGGTGTTTTCCAATTAGTCTTTTTTTACCTCGTTGAGTAATATTGTCTTCTTCCTCTGTATTGCCTTGGTTTTTCGTCCACTCTACATTCCTGGCGCCTCAGCCTCAACCCCCTTTTTTGGTGGTTTTTGTCTGTCCTGAGAGTGTAGGGCCCCCAGGTTTTCCCCCATCCCTGATCAAGACCTTTCCCCTCCTCCTCCCTCCCTCCTCCTCCTCCTTTTTGCGCCTCTTCCGCTTCTCGCTCCTTAGACACAAATCACTCGCGTTCCTCCCTCCCTCCTCCCTCCTTCTCGCTCCTCCTCCTCTTCCTCTCTCTGCCTTCGGCTCTTTTTGTGTGCGCGCCAGATTTATGTTAATTGTTGATTCTTGAGTATTGTTTGCGGGCCTGGTGGTTTGACGCAGGGGGTTGGGGAGTATTGCTTTTGTTCTCACGTTTTGTTTTCCCTTTTCGCTTTTTTCATATTTAAGGATACTCTGTGGTGCTCGCTTTGCTTAAGTGCCCGCCACACCACCCGCACGCCTTTATTTCACCAACTCTCTCTCTAGATCCGTAAATGAACCTCGCTGTCTTGGGTTGTGGTAGTTGTGTGGTTGGGTTCTGTTATTTTTTTTCTTCACGGTCCAGCTGGGACCCGGCGCGCCTCGGCTGGCGTTCGTGCGGTCTCTCTTGCTGCCCTCCTTTAAGTCCCTTTTTTTGCTCCCATCTCTCTCTCTTTTCTTACACCCTCTTGCCTCAGTCGTACTCGTGCGACCTCCAACTCTTGAAGGGGTGTGGCCCGGGAGGCGAGGGAAGTTTCAAAATGCCGCTTGGGTTTTTTATACCTTCTCGGCTTTTTTTTTCCTTCCTCTTCCCCATTCCTTCAAGGTTTTGCAAAGGGAGAGGCTCGCTAAGGCGGATTTTATTTTCGTTTCCGTTCCGATTTGAGGTTTATCAGAACTGACAATGGCCGCCTCCGCTCTGTTACAGTCTCTCCCCGCAACAGAAAGACAAACTCTGCAGTGAGTACGTAGTTGTTGCGCTTTCCTGGCTAGAAGGGTCTGGCTTATTGTGTTGTACAAAAGAAAAAAAAAAAGGCACAAACTGGTGCACCAGCATAGAAGGTGTGTGGAGGATGAGCCGCTGTCCACATTCTTTTCCTTCTTGTGCGGGCAAGGAAAGAGAAAGTGTGTATCTAATCGTCGTCACACAAAAAAAAAGTAGAGACTTTCTTGCGCTTTTTGTTTCTAGAAATTTGGTAGAGGAGGAGGAGGGAGAGGAAGAGGAGAAAAAACGGGTGGACAGAAAACAAATTAAATGTTTTTTTTTCTTTCTCTTGTTCTTTGTAGATTTAATTGTTGCCCCCACTTCTCTCTCTCTCTCCCTCTCTCTCTCTCTCTCTGGTCTCTTTTCCCTCCCAGTCAGTTTCTCTGTTTCTTTGAGATGTCTTCCTTCCTCCTTAACATCTATTTTTTACCTCCACTCTTTTCACATCGTCTCTGTCTTCCTGCTGCTTCTATCAACTAATGGTTTGGTACCTGTAGTTATTAGTTATGCTTCTCTGACATTATAAGGCGACGTGAGGTCATTATAAATGGGACTTATAGAAGTAATTAAAGTTTATTTGCCAGCCAGCAGATATTAGTCTTAGACAGAAATGTTGTTCAGTAAAGTCACATTAATATATATAAAGATTATGTAATATATTATTCATTCATCTTTATTCATTTATCCACATTAAGAGCGTCAAACCTCAGAACTCCCTTAAGTCATCACTTGAATATAAGTTACTATAAGAGATGAACAGTAACCTTGCTGACGTTCCATTTTAAAAAGAATCTTCACTCATAATTGTGTCTTTACAAATAGTAAGAATAACTAAAATCAACAACAAAATACAAATACAGCCAAAATATGGACCTTTCCAGGACATTTTCTTACACAATACAGGACATCCCTTGCTTACAAGCAGTCATATAAACTGCAGTAACAGTTCAAATCAAATAGAATTAATCTTTTTTTTACAGAAAATTCATCCTCTAGAAAGTGCAATTAACATTACAGTGCAGATATTTATCAACCACAGCAACAAGAAATTTGATTAAAAACATCACTGCAAGTCAGTTCTACTTTGCGTAATACCGTTTATCCTCCACTCCAAGGTTTGTGTAGGCAATCTGAATGAAGAGCTAAAATACAAAAAAAGCCAGGAAAACATGGATAATTTCCAGACTATTTGGTCATTTTAATTAATTTCCAGGATTTCCTGATGTTAGTGCACTTCAGGCACAGTTTCTCTGTGTTTGTCTCTAAACGAGGTAATAATCTGTTTGTAATATATCACAATGTCTGCTAATCTGACCGCTGTTTGGCCAGAGGTCATTCAGCCGACTGCCGGCAGCCACACTTTCGTTAGCTGCGGGGCATCTTGCCAGTCTGGCACGCAGTCAGGCTGATTGGCAAATATACAGGGGACCCCGACACACACACACACACACCCACAAACACACACACACAGAGGCATGTCAGATTTTGGCAGGGGCTGACGGAGCTCTGGTAGGCAACCTTCATGAGCTCAAAGGCTACAGGACGACTATCAAAGCCTGACAGGGAGCTTTAAGATCGGCTCAGTTTCTTTTAGAAAAGGCCACAAACATGCGGGCCTGTGATTTCCCTCACAAAGTCCTCTCCAACAGTTTCCTTTCCCTCTTTATCTTTTTTTATCCCGACAACAAAACACCACCACCTAGCAGTTTGTAGAGTCTGTGTGTGTGTGTTTGTTTGAGCAAAGAGGATGAATGTAATCGCCTTTCGCTGTTCTGAAGGGAGTCGGTATAAAACACCAGATTGACAGATGTTAGCTGGATTATCTTGGTGGCGCTTTGAACACAATCCAACACCATTTCATATGTGTGTGCTTTTGTTTGTTTGTGTGTGTGCGTATGACAGGTGCCAAGGAGATTGATATTGCAGCAACTCTGGAGCACCTGCGGGACCAGAGGCCGGGAATGGTTCAGACCAAGGTAACACACACACACACACACACACACCTGAATCTGTCCGTTCAGGTGGAAAACGTCACAGGCCACAGAAAGTGATACACTGTACAAACAGAAGCTTAGACTGTTAAAATCTAACATTTACATTTTAAAGAGTGTGATGAGGTCATTGCATTAATATACACATAGAATAGGTCAAGTAAGGAGCTTTACACACAGCATGTCCCCATTGACATATAAAAGATGGAGGAAATTACAGATCCTAAAAAGTGAAGCCAAAATATATTGATTGCCCCCTGGTGGCAGATGTTCAAGTGTTCATTTTTCTGATAAGTTTGGTTGTAATTAATACATTGACTTTGATACGGTGGTGCCAACCCTGATCACTACTGGGCTCCAAATGAGGTCACCAGTGTAAGATAAAACAGAGATGCCCTGCGTTTAAGATTGGAGAAATAATTATTGTAACAGTGTGCCGTCACCTAACACTGCAAGATTACAAAATGTAGCATCGGTCTCATGATCGCGCTGATCAATATTTATTTATTAGTCACGTTGACATGTGACATTACATAATTTTTGGTGTTATTCATTGGGCTGATTCATTGCAGTGAAGGCTGTAGTAGCTGTGATGAAATATATTCCATTACTGTTAGATTTGCAGTCATTACTGGTCTTCTGAAAGCGCCACTGCTGCGTCACTAACTTCCCCAACGCCGATGAGAACGGCACACTAGTTAAAAACCGTAAGCAAAGATCATTGTAAGCACATTGTCTAACAGACAGGTGTCCTCTGTCAATGCTAAAGGTGCTTCTGCACTGTCAGGAGGAAAAAAAATGTTGTGTTAGGTGTTTGAAACATGTCATCTCATCGTTGACAGTTTGCTAGGGTCAAACTTGTGACCTTCCCGTCACAGTACGGCCTCTCCTACAATCAGTCGAGCCTCCATTAAAACTTCATTGTGTTGGAAAGTTTCAGGTTGGCTGGTAGTCTTTATTCCTCGTTTCTGAGATAGGCTGGATTTGCAGTTTTTTGGGACTCATTCCTCCACATCAGGCAAGATCAATCGATTTCTAAAAAGTAATTGAACAGGTATTATAGTCAGGTCTGCCCAGATCATAGAGGAATATGTACAGAATTCAAATAGGGGGTTAAAACTCTGGAGAACCATGGAGAGTTATTATTAGAGTGAATGGAAGAGGTCACAAAGTTAAACATATTGTAAAGTTAGGAATCCTTTTAAACAAAATTACCATATACTGTAAATCACACTTCTGCACAGACCTCAGAGCTTTACCTGAAACAACTAGAGTCATTCCTTGTCACACTGTACGCAGGCCGATGCCAGGTCAGTCTGGAAACTTCAATTACCGGCTGATCTGTGAACATAATTAGAAAGAAAAGCCAAGATGTGTGTAAAACATTGGTGGTATCGATCGGGGCTTTATTAAACCATGTATCCTGAGCTAGCTGCTGTCACGGCTCTCTCACACATTGATTCCCCTTGTGGTCAGGGAGTCCCAGCCTCAGCACTCGGATTTCATTTCTGATTTTGATGAGGAAAGGTGTTGTTTGGACCATTAATCTTCCGCTTCCTGGACTGATACAATAAACTAAAGGTTAAGCATGTGTAGGTCTTCTAAACACAACTAAATATGACTTTTTAGATAAACAACACATACCACTGTTCTTTGCTGCCTAATGTTTTATTATATAATTCTCGCATTTGAGCACATTATCATTACTAGATATATTGAAACAGTTATCAGATCCAATACTGTGCTTATGTACTTGTAATTGTAATCATAAAACTACTCCGATACTGCGCCTGAACTCTGATCGGGCAAAAAACCCAAACCAAGCCCGCACCATGAAGGTTTTGTGTCTTTGCCTGATCCAGCAGGTTGTTTTGGGTCCTACCGGGTTCGGGCAGAGAACCAAAGCTTTGCTGAGCAGGTAGACGAAGGGGAAACATTAGCAACATTTAATTTGTCAAAGTCAGAAAGTGAACATCTGATGGAAATAAAACATGTTTTCAAAGTCATTGTACTCATATCGGTACTTGGTATTGGCAAGTACACATGTAAGTACTTGGATTTGGTCTGAAACAAAAAAGTGTATTTTTTTTTCAGCCCTGAGTTATGTCTGCAGGCTTAATCTCAGGCAGCATACATTCCTCCATCAATCACAGTGTTAGGGAAGCACGTATGTAGACTGAGAGGCAAAACTCGGGGCAATAAAACACACTTTTTTCCGTATATCTTCACATACCTTTGATGTGAGGCTTTCTTTAAAGTTCTGGAAACAGTTTGTGTTTGTCCCTTCATCATGACAATGCCCACGTCCACAAAGCCGGCTCCATGAAGAAATTGGTTTTCACACTCGCAGAGTCCTTCCTCAAGCCCTTCTAACACCTTTGGGATGAACTGGAACGCCGACTGTGAGCCGGAACTCGTTACCCAACATTAGTGTTCACTGGTGCTCTTGACTGAAACCAGGCTGCAGATTAATGCTCATGATTTTCAACTGAGGTGTTAGTTAGTAATGTATCAAGATTTTTTTATCAACTCAGAGCTTCTCTCAGCTGGACACCAAGGGGACACTGTTCAGAGAGATTTCAGTTAGTAAATCGAACTAAAACTATACAAGTGTTGGGAACAAAAGTAGCATTTTGTAGGACTTTTGTGAACTAGCCAAAGCTGATCATCCAAGTTGTTGAACACCAGGTTCATCATCTTGCCAAAGGGTTCTTTGGCAGCTCGTATCCCTGAAATTAAACTTGTGACTAATACACTTCACTCCAGACTGTTGCTTCTCCAAGTGTGTTTCAGTACTTTAAACTTTTTCCCGTTTCTTTGTCTCTCTGCAGGACCAATTTGAGTTTGCGCTGACGGCCGTTGCGGAGGAAGTGAACGCCATTCTGAAAGCTCTTCCACAGTAGGAAGGAGCACCTCCTTCTGATGGACCTCCTCATTCTCCTCTACTATCTAACCTAGAGGATGGTCCCAATTATTATGTTTCCTCGTCCCGTCTCCTGTCATTCTCCCCTTCTGTCTTGTCCTACATGTCATCCCAGTTTCTCCGGTCTCCTTTTCTTCCTTCAGTCTAATTGTTTTTCATTTTATCTTGTATTTCCTGTCCACTCCTCCTCTTCTCTTTTTTCACATTGTGTTGTTGCTCCCTGTTTTCTTGTTTCTGTCTTTACCTACCTTTTCCTTTTTACTTCCTCTTGTGTCCTCCAAATGGCGATTGTCTCATTCTTTACTTTTATCCAATCCTTCATCTTCTATTTTTAAATATCTCCTCCTTTTCTCTCCCTTTGTTTCCTTATTCTCCTCCTGCCTCCTCTCCTCTTAGTTCATCCTTTCACTTCTTCTCATCTCCCTCTCACCTTCCATCTTAGTAAACATTGTGCCAGGAAACCATTGAACCAATCCTGTACATAGATAGACCTTCCTTCTATTGTAAACGATCCATGCAGCCTGTTTTCCAAAGTGACATTTAAACATGTTTTGATAGCTTGATAAAAATGTTTCTCTATGTTCTGTTAAGAGTATGTTTATCACTGTTTATGTTTCTAGGCGAGGTTGACCTCATGGGCGTCAGTTGGGTATGGCAGGATTTGGGAATCATTATTACTGTAGTTGTACTAAAGCTCTGACCATCCAACCAAAATCACTTTTATCAAAATGAAAACACATGTTTTTATAATTCTAAATTGAATAAATGTGACGATATCATCTTGGGCTCTACAACAGACATTTTTCACCATTTTCTGAAACTATATTGACTAAACTAAGTCCAGAAATGAATCAGTAATGAAAACAATCATTAACTGCGGCCCTAGATATGCATATAATTTCCCAAATAATGTTCAATGTAAGTATTTCCCACTTTGCTATTTCACCAAATTGACGCCCTTGACTGGTCTTTTGAGTGTGTGTGTGTGTGTGTGATGTTGATCATCATGTTCGTATCACAAAAATCGTATTTGTGTCTGATTTTTAGTGCTATGCTTTCTGATGTGTTTTCATGCAGTATGCTAGAGTGTCACAGTGTAACTCATCCATGCCAGTAAGGTAGATATGAGGCAAAATACTCTAAAAGAGTGATTTCATCTCCCGTTGAGGATTATTTTTCTTAACAGCAAGTGATGAAAAACTGCCAGTAGAATGTTGTTTTCAAAGTGTGGAGCAACTCCATGAAACATCTGCAATTTCCCACTTATTTTAAGAAAAATAATAGATGCTGGTACAGAATGTGAGGTGAAATAACATGGATATATATTTTTTTCAATGTGTAATTTTCATTATCCCAGTAGAAGCAATATTGTGTTTCTTCAACCTGAATCGTTATTTCTTGTGGACAACCAATATTGTGGCTTGTCAGTGAAGTTACACTCATGTCTGCCTTAATAAAAACACAGTAGAAGGATTGGTAAGTGTGTCCAGCCACCTGGAAACGAGTGCTAGTGTGCAACGCTTCATTTTAAAATGGCCTTATTCCAGCGGATTAACCTGTGGATTAAAGGTTTGCTGTGCTGCTACTTAATGAAAATCACTCTGATAAACACTGAAGAACGTGCTGTCTTTAATAATCTGGGGGCAGGAAGTTACCATCTGTCCAAAAGTTTGTGAGAGAAGTGTGAATTGTGTTCTTTAAATAATGAATCATTAATTACTTTGAACTACAGAGCACTGGAATGAGGCCATTTTACAATAAAGTGTCTCTGACTAGAAGTTTTATGATAAAAGAGGATAGTCTTGCTTCTGAATAGCAGTTCTTCTATGTAGCATTAATGGATGATTTGTACATGTACAGTAGCTGAACCTTTATTGCATTGAAACTAGTTTGCAGTGACACTCGTTAGCTGGTTTTCCCAAAACCATCTTAAGACTAGCTAGGTTTTTGTTCTGTAGTAAATGAAAGGAGCATGTTTAAACCCATTTACTACAAACTACTTGTTCTTTACGTTGCTGCTAACCAAATCATGTTCCTGTCTTGTGAACGTGTTATTTAATCTATATTCCAGGCAGCCTGTTGGTTTCCGTTTTCTGTCGAGGATAAGAATCTATTAGTGGAGTAATTATTGTTACAAGATAATGCAGAGTGGATTTTGAAGAGTCTGCTAGTTGATTATCCGATTGTATGGAAATGAATGGAACCCAGTGGCTGCCATGAAAGCAGACTACATTAAAAATCTGTAACTTTCCGTCATGCATTAGATGCAATCACTCACACTAGTCTGAGCCGTGGTGCATTTTTGTACTTGGCTTATTTAAGACTCCCACTGCACAATTAGAGGCCTGCTTAGGCTTTTAAACAACAATAACATTATTCATAAGTGTGTATTGGCCATTTCTGATGTCGAATACAAGCCTAGAGATCATTTTGTTTTTCTTGGCTTTCCCAACACAAGAGATCTCTCAAGGAAAAGGCTTGGTTTTACCCATAAATCACTGCGTTTGTGGGCTGAGAGAAATAATACTCACAAACTACTACTTGTGGTAGTTTTGTGGTAAATATTCGTTGACTTGGATAACATTCAAAGCTAGTTCTAAGAGAACAGAGCTCAAGAGAACAAAACACTACTAACATTTGGGGTGAACACATCCATGAAGATGACTTTGGGAAACAGCTCATAGTTTGTGGAAAATCAACTTAATTTCACTACTTTCGATAGGCTGACAGATCCTATCATTCAAATTCTACTTCAGTATGTTTAATCATATCTGAATCACCAATAATATGACTTGCATACACTATGCTACAAGTGCATGGCTATTTACTTAGCGCGCTGTACTTTCCTGTGGCCTCAAGACAATCTTAGCAAAGCTCTTCAAGCAAACAAACAAATGTTGGTTATCTCTTCACTTTATTTCAGACTATGTATTGCACAAGAAGCTCCAAGTGCACCTTAACAGTGCAAAAGCCAAGGATTATCATCTCTAAACAGTGCAGATCATGGTTAAAGCGAGTTAAAAGGTGGTGCAGTATCAATATGATGCAACACCGCAGCAAGCCGGTGTCATGTTGTTGGAGTCGACTCCATTTTTCATCACAAAAGTGAAACATGCTGCAAGAAATGCTCGTTATAACAGCTTGTTTGATGTAGAATGAGATCTTAATTTGTCTGCCTTTTTAAAGATACTGTCATGTATGTTATAAAGATGTGGAAATAAGTGAAAGTGAAATTTTCTGATTCTACCGGCCATTTTTAATGAGTCAAACTTGTTATTATGGGTGTTTTTTCTTCATGGAGGATGCTCAGTAGGTCATATCCCCCAATGCTGTTATTTATTTCACACACTCAATATCAAATATCAATAGATGGCTGGTCTGTTGCATTAACACTGTACATAAACAAAATAAAAACAAAAACAGAAGATATTTTGTTCTATTGGTGTAAACAACTTGTGAATAAAGTGTCATTGTTGATGCAGTATCGTAATGCAATCCTGACTTGTGAGTTTTGTCTCCTTTCTCTGTCTTACCACTGCCGTACATAAAACTTATGCTTGGGGCGTAACTGTACACAATAATTTTTTACCATCTGGGTGGGCGGTGAAACATCTGTTTTATAGAGCTCTGAACAACCGGCTGCATTTTAAATCAGATACAGTGTCGCTAGGTTAGGCCTGATAGAAAGCGTCATCATGTTTGCAGCTCGTCATTCACCATTTTCCAAACTTTTTATTCTACACTCATCCAGTGAAAGTTTTCTGAGAACACCTACTCTTGTCCTTCAGCAGCTCTCTGTTTCTCATTCACAATTTTACACTTCAGAGTTACTCGCAGGGAAGAGCTACACTTCAGTCTTTCCACTGATAATCGCAGGTCACACAGAAGTCATGATCGGTAAACGTATTAAGTCTCAGGGTCAGTTCGCTTTCGCTTTGTTCAAGAGGAAAATGAAAAAAATGCAAAAGCTTTTCTTTTATAGATTTTAAATTAGTACACAAGTACACAGTGGCCATAATTCCAGCTATAAAAAGTCACTGAAGGATTTGCATCTTGTCAAAAAGTACGCTAAACAACAATAAGCAATAAGTCCATATTGCTCCATCCATTCCTACGCATTGCTTACTTACTTAGGGGTCACCAAAGCTTCACAGGAGGTTGCGAGGCCTTGAATTTAAGGGGTGAAAGAAAAAACAGTAGGCCTGTATCTCAGCATTTTAAACACTGTATTTGTCAAAAAAGAAGCCTATTAAGTATGTATGATTGTAATAATAAAATTAAAAAGAAAAGTTCCCTAAAATTATTAGGATGCTGAATCTGCTCAAAATTCATCCAAATGGCTCAGTTATTGTGTTCACTATCTGGGTTCATTGTACAGTTTGTCAGTTGTTCTGTATTGTTATTGTAATGCATTGAATATAATATGAAATATCCATTAAATATGTCATGTAGTCAGTGGTCCATTAACTCAATGATAGGAAAGGTTGGGAACCATCCACCTGCACTAGGACAGCACAACTCAAGCCACTGGAAAATGGAAACAACTAGTGACACCAATCATGAAACCAAACCACGTGAGAAGTAATGTAAGCGTAAAGCAGATTCAACGCCACGGATAATAAAATCCATGATAAAAGGTTTGGCTGACTTTGTAAAATGCAACGGCTATGCAGAGAAAAATATGTGACTATGAAGTTGCTCGATGTTCCATTTTGGAGATGGAGACCAGCCCCTTCTCCTAGAAATCGTTATAACTAATTTACAACAGAAAATACGTTCTTAGGGAAATGTATTGAACAAATATCTTTATCTAAACACTCGTAGTGACTGCAGCATTTTTTATTAGCATTTAACATTTTCCCTAACCTTAACCAACATTACTGTGGTGCAACAGTCCTCTCCAACCACCTCCTTGCAACTCGGCCATGTTGCATAAATGTAGTATTTCATAAAAGGTTTGTGATATACAAATGTAATTTCTAGGAGACAGAGATGCTGGAACTGAACCGTACAGTAAATGTGCTGTAACACCAAAAATATGAGCTAAAACAAGCTAAAAAGCTCCACACAGCTGCAGAGTTTAGACTAATTCTACATGATTGGAGCACTAAGAGCAACCCATGTCGTCATCTGCTTTTTTCACAGCAGACATTCTGATTTTTAAAACTATGAACATTTCAGATGGGTTTGATTGTTTGTTATTAACGGTTGTAACAATCAGCCCCTCAATTTAAAAGCCTTTCTGTTGCCATAATGCAATTTCTATGTTTTCTTTACACATAGGCATGACACCAGCGTGGCATTATTATTCACCCAGTGTCTTTTTAGATGAAGCGGAGTGGATGAATAGCTTTTTTAGAGTGCTTATTCAGGTGAAACAGCAGCTTGGTATTGATCGTGGAGAAAACGACCTCGGTACATAAGCTAGTGTTGCTGGCCAGCAGTGTTGACTTAGAGAGTAGGAAGTAGGGAAATCGATTTAGCGAGATGCTGCTTTCTTCAATGATGAGTCATATGAGGAGATTTAGAGTGTCTAAGTGTTGTATTTTCACACCAAGCTGAACACGGACGGCATCTTCCACCGTTCTATATGCAGACTCACAGCAGCAGGGATCAGGATGGATCTGAGAAAGATGCCTTGAAGTAGGAGCCAGCAAATGTGCAGAAGTTTTGGGTCTTAGATTTGGTTCACATGATAGCAGCTTCATTGAAGACTTCATTAGATGAAAAAAAATCTTTCTTCTTCTTTGAATTATCTTTGAAAAGGTGCTATTCAGATACACTTTACTTGGTTTACCTAGTGTTTCCAGTAATTTGCATTGTGGCTTACTTTTTAATGGGAATTTAAAGACTACACCCTAGAATGTAGTGATGCAGATAGTTTTGGTTTTATTGTCCGAGGTGACTGAGACTTCAGCCACTAGCCCCATTCAACAGTGGTTAATAGAAAATTGTGTGCACACAACCATTAAAAAAGCAACATTTTAAACTTTCAACTTCAACATTTGCCATTGTTTATCAATGGTGGGTTATTATAGGATGACTTTAGGTGGTCTGATACCTGCCAGTCGGCGTTGCACCTGTCGTTGTTGGCTGTGGATGTGAGTGACACCGGCACAGGCGTAGACAGGAGGTTTCTGGTGGGACTGAGCATCCGATTTCTTATTTGTCCAAGAAACTTGATTGCTATGAGAAGTATTCCATAGTGCATTAGTTAGTGCTGCAGCTCACAACTGTCCTCGTGTTTTCAGAACCAGCCATTCCCTCCCAGTCCATCAGTGTGTTTCTGACTTTTTTTTACATCACATGACCTCCACGCCCATCTGCACCTGCTCCCGCTTCTCTAATTAACTCCCCAGAAAATATACCTGCCCTTTAGCCTTGATTCCCTGCCATACTGTCTATTGTGCCATCCCAGTTGTAGCATTTTAGCCCTCTGTCCTCTTGCCTTGTTATGACCCATTCCCTGCATTTAATTTGGACTTACGTTGAGCAACGACAGAGTAAACCTTTCTTTGACCTCACTCCTTTTGTCTGCAGCATTTGACTCATCAGTTTTTCTGAGTAGTTACATGAGTGATTACTTCATTTTCAGTGCAGTGTATACAGAAATTCAGAGAAGCCTTTCTTTAAAGACAGAAAACATCTACAATAGGATTGTAGTTGATACATTGCCACTGTAATTGACTAATTCATATTCTTGATTTCAAGGCCAAACCACTGTTGGATTCGGGCTCTCGGTGAAAGAAGCTGTAAAGATGATGAGTTGAGTTTACTATGAAGAAAAAAAATCTCACACACGCTTGTATTTGCAAATATTAAGTTTTCAAGGATGTGGAAATATGTTTATATTCCCTTTGACACGTAGGCCTATTTGAAACAGTACAATGGGGATTTTAACAGGCTTTTAAGGGCCTGTGAGGTCATGAAACTCATTCAGCAAATAAATGAATTTGAGAACTTTTAATGCAAGAAAAAAAGGGGAAAAAAGACGACATAATCGCCTCGACTTTTTTGTCCTTGCAGACAGCAGCATTATGCACTGAGACTTTATTTCACATCTAAACACGATGCCCGAGCATGCAGTAATAATATTACTCAGGCTTTCTGTCCACACGCAGCTTCAGCGGAAATATTGTCAGTTATTCTCCCGCTAGCTAATGAGGTTCCCTGAAAGTCAGCAGTCATGTCTGTGTGCAGTTCAAAATCATCTGCTGCTATTTGTAAAAGCATGGAGTAGCTGTTCGCCGTGTCACTGCCGGGGCTGCTAATGGGACATTGTTATTCTCGCAGCGAGAAGAAATCAGAGAGGCTTATTGCAGTTCACAGACAGATGCAGGAGTTTTGTTCCAAAACGAGACGTCTGCAGTTTAACAACGGCAGTTCAAATGTTTTGCCACCCATTCGTACATTAGTCTGCGAGGAGCATACGCACGCAGTTGGATATTCTGTGAGTGAGTGATCAATAGCAGCCGTCGTGGACAGTCTCTGAAATGTCAGCGTGAATGGCAATCACACACAAACACTGTCATATCACATTTAACTGGTTATTTATCTGAGGGTTTACTGAGCACACATAAAATAAAACTCAGTCCTAAAAACAAGTTTGTAAAATCTTTCACCTGGGAGCTTCCAGCACCAGCAGACTCCTGTCACTGATGTTTTGTGGGTTGAGTACTCGTCTAAAGGGCACAGAGGGGCCTATAATGGCTCCGTTTGCACTTTTACATTAAAGGTTCAGACAGCAAAATCTAGTTTTTACGTGCATGTGCACCACTTTTAGCATTTTTGTTAACTGAAATGAACAATATTTAATTTCTGCCGCTGCTCGGCAAATAAAGGCAGTTCTTAAGACCCAAAAAGTATTTTGCAGATGTAATTAATACGTCTCTACATATCATAGTAATGGTGCAGAGAAAGATTGCACTCTGGAACCTGGTTTTACCCATCAAAACGTCATTGGGCCGCAACAAAAGTTACAGTTTTTATCCAAAACCGATGCTTAATATGTCAGTTTATCAGTTTATTTTACGGAATCATTTTTGTTTTGCTTTTCAAAAATCAAATTTGTTCTGCTGTACAAAACATACTTTATTTTAAAATTCTCAAGTTATTTTTATACATACAGGCTAACTGTAACTAACTAACTGCATACTACATCATACCTGGAGCCTCAAGGCAAGTTTGGTCCCTAGGATTGCCTTCACAACAAGTATAAATCATAATTAAGATTTTTGTTGTAGATAATAAGTTAAAATAGTTTTCTTTTGTCTAACCAAAGCCAAAATGTTTAGTTTACAATACTTACGTACGTAATTTCGACAGTCCAGTTTGAACTGTCTGTCAGTCACAATCCCTGTGTTATTTGTCCCTTTCTGCTCCCACTAGCTCCACCCTGGTGTGCTACACCTGATTGTTAAATGAGGTGCACCTGGCCTGGGAATGAAGCACTATACCAGCATCAGAAGGAGAGGTCTTGCGTCT